TATTTTATTTTTTATGCAAATTAAATTTTAATTCTACATTGCAGCAGTAAAATAATTTTGGCGATCTTGGTACATACTTAATGGTCATGAAAATTGAAATAGTCCTAAAAATGCCCTGATGAATCATTATTCCAATCATTAATATTCTGTTTAATTCAGAAGTATTATAGAAGTCAAATGCGTTGTCAAAGCTGTTGTCTTCAATTAATCGTATAAGTTATGCATATTGATGTGCATTATAAACAGAAATATGCAATGATGCAAACATGGCTGTTAATAAAATGAAGAATTAGTGCTGTCAAACGATTAATCGCGATTAATCACATCCAACAATAAATGTTTTTGTTTACATAATATATGTATGTGTACGGTGTATATTTATTTTGTATATATAAAGACACACACATACAGTATATATTTTGAAAATAAATATAACTCTAGCACTCTCTATTCTAATTCTATTCTTTAAAAAAAAAACTTGCCCCTTTTAGACTTCCACTCTAGTCATTTACTAACTGCTTATTTTATTAAAAAAAAAACTAACTCTATTCTTTTTGTATTCTATCTATTGTTTTCTTTTTATTTATTTATATTATTTATTTTATTTATTATATAATTTAAAAAAGCCCTTGCTACGTGTACTGCGTTAAGCTAACTGAGACTTGTTATAGCACTTGTATATCATTGCTCTTTTGTTGATTTTGATTGCTTTCATTGTCCTCATTTGAAAGTCGCCTTGGATAAAAGCATCTGCTAAATGACTAAATGTAAATAAATATACACAGAATACACGCATATATTATATAACCAAACCATATAACCAAAAACTTTAATTTTGGATGCGATTAATCGCGATTAATCGTTTGACAGCACTATTAAGAATATTAGGAAACATGACAAATTATGTAGACATACTCTAAAATTTCTAGATTCAAAAATGGACCAATCAAAAGAAGATATTTTAAAGAATGTGGTTAACCAAACTGCTGGTAGCCATTGACTTCCATATAGAAAAAAATACGATGGAAGTCAATGGCTACCGGCAACTGTTTGATCAAAATACAAACTTATACGGGTTTGGAGCGACATGAGGGTGAGTAAATGATGACAAAACTTTCATCTTTGGGTGAACTATCCCTTTAATATGCAACAGAAGGCTTATTGCAAGAATAGTAAGCACACTTTCTCACCTTAAGTGACATGTTGGCCGGCTCTAAGGAGGCTGTGACCCGAACCTGTTCCAGTGGCCGGTCTGGAGAGCAGAGATACCTGTGGAATGTGTCTTAGATGGCTGGCACGATGCCTGGCCCGTGCCGGACAGAAGATGAGCGTTTATTTCTGCCCCATGTGTTAGGTTTTTTTTTATCTCTCCTCATAAAATCAACAAGTGGATTGTGTGTCCACAGGTGAAACCGAACCAGCCTCTCCTCGCGCTTCTCTGTGTGTGTGGCTGTTGAAAACCACATGCTGACACACAGATTCATTGAGATATTCTCTTCGCTAGCATCTTACGGTTATGCCAAAATGAAAGACAAAACAGGGGAAAGAGTCTTGAGGTGTTATCTAATTCCTCGTAAGGCACTTTAGAGGATCCAACAGGGTTGAGAAGATAGGAGCGAGTGTGTTATCAGATCACCTGTCTCATGATGAATGCCCATGACTATCATTAATAAGAAACAAGAGTTCAGCCAGTCCTTGAAGATGGAAATATAGCCACTTTGTATTTTGTTTAAATGTGTCTTATGTAAAATTTATCAGTTCATAGTATTAATTTTCATGATATTATTCAAAATATAATAGGTGAATTTCACAAGAAATCTGTCAAGAAATGTGATTGATTTATTTATTTATTTTTATATATTTTTTTTATTTTGTAACATTGTCATGTTACATTGTAATTCATTGTCATGACAGCACATTTCCTCCCAGTTCTATTCTCATTGGTGTAATACAAATATAATTTCTAAAGAATCATGTGACACTGACTCAAGACTGCCGTAATGATGCTGAAAATTCAACTTTGCCAATAAATTACATTTTAAATTGTATTCAGATAGAAAACAATTATTTTAAATTGTAATAATATTTCATAATATTACAGTATTTTTAATAATATAAATATAATGAATGCACTTTTAAAAAATCTTCTTTCAAAAAATATGAATACATTTTATATAATAAATTTTTTCAGTAAAAAACAATTTATTATATTATATTACATTATATGATATCATATTATATTATGACAATTTTAACTGTTCCAAGTGTGTGTGTGTGTACGGTTTAGACATTAATGGCTGTGTGTTGAGTTATTTTGAGGGGACAGCAAATTTACACTGTTATACAAGCTGTACACTCACTACTTTACATTGTAGCAGAGTGTCATTTCTTCAGTGTTGTCACATGAAAAGATATAATAAAATATTTACAAAAATGTGAGGGGTGTGTTTTATAAAATGTAATACATTACATTTTAAAATATATTCAGATAGAAAACAGTTATTTTAAATTGTAATATTATTTCACAAAATTACTATTTTTACTGTTTTTTATTAAATAAATGTGGCATTGGTGAACAAACTTTTTTTTCTAAAAAAAAATCTATTTTATTTTATTTAAACAAATTCAATTTTATTTAACATTGCAGTAGTAAAATAAAAGAAGAATTGAGAATTCTAGCAATCTTGGTACAGTGGTACAAATTAAAATAGTCCTAAAAATGCCCTGATTAATCATTATTCCAATCATGAATTTTCTGTTTAATTCAGGAGTATTATGGAAGTCAAATGCATTGTCAAAGCTGTTGTCTTCAATTAACCACACAAGTTATGCATATTCAGGTGCGTTGTAAACAGAAATAAGCAATGATTTCTCTCTCTCTCTCTCTCTCTCTGCAGGTGTATGTAAACGGTGAATGGGTGACTAGTATTGGAGAGGGTGGTAGTTTTGGAGAGTTGGCCCTGATATACGGAACTCCTCGAGCTGCTACTGTGAAAGCCAAGACTGACCTGAAACTGTGGGGAATAGACAGAGACAGCTACCGCCGCATTCTCATGGTAGGAACACACTCACACCCTTACATTACACAGGGGCAATAAATGACGTCAGTAATCTCAGATTTGTCATTTTTGGGTGAACTGTTCCTTTAAATGACAAGCCCTCCCTCCATCTGCTCGGATGTCATGACATTCCAGATTGAAACTCTTGACCAATGTGCCGTTGGCATATTCAAACTAAACCAAACTTTCCAGCCTTTGGTATTCTTTAACTAAATACTTACTGTCTCGCTCAGCGGCGTAATCTGCATCGAGTGCTCCATCTGTAGCAGCGTTTGTGTTTGTAGAGTGTGTGTGTGTGTTGTGGGAATTAATAAATTAATATTTCTAATGGCCTGCGAGCCTCCATGGAAACTGTTCTCCACACAGAGCCTGACAAGGGACCAATTTAGATTTTTCTGTCAGGCCATCGTTTGGTTTTTCTTTCTCTATTTAGTGTCTTCCTTGCTTTCTTATGCCAACATGCACTTTTCATGCAGACTTACTCTCTTAACATCATGCACACACATTCTCTCAACACAAACACACACACACACACACACACACACACACACACACACACACTGTGTTTTGTGAGAGGAGAGACAGCCTGTCAGATTGCAGCTATGCTGAGCTGCTCTTAATTAAACCAATAAATTATTGTGTGTGTGGCTGCAGTCAATTAGAGATAAGTCAGTAATTCATAAAGCTGTTTATAAAATGTCATATTCCACGTCCACACTGAGCATAAAATCTTCGTGGTGTGTGCAAATATACCTGGACAGTATAGAAAAACATATATATCTTAATATTTTTCAGCTTTTTGATGTTATTTCATAGATATCTTATTCAATCTGAAATCTTTTTTCTCCAATCAAAGAAAATCTTACTTTTTTATTTTTTTACTTCTTGATTTAACATGTTCAACGTACATCTTGAAAGGCTTTTTGATTAAAATGATGATTGAAAAAAGAATAAAAACAATGTGTGTATATATATTTTTATTTTTAATTAAATAATTAAGTAATTATTATTTATTATTTTAATATTATATTATAATTTTCACACTTAATGAGAATTTTAATAATTGTAAAATTAAAAATAATAATAAGTATTTTACTTTTTGATGTAACATTTTCAACATACATTCTGAAAGGCTTTTCAATTGAAATGATGAGTAAAAATAATGCATTCATTCTGTATTTATTTATTTAACTATTATATATTAAATATATTTTTCACATTACATTAATGAGAATTTTAATGATTGTAAAAAATCTATTCTTGAAAAGTAATTAATGCTAATTGAAAAAGAAGATATATTATAATGTGAATAAGATTTTTTTATAAACATATTTATTTAAATATGATATTTTTTTATGTATTAATTTTTGTACTTTTATTCATTTTCATTTCAAGTTGTTTTTAAATTTTTATTTCTTTTTTATTTTAATTTTTTAATTTTTCGTGTCTTATTCTCCAATTTATAATACTCAATATATTATAATTATTCAAAATATTGCCTAGACTAACTTGTAAGGAAAACACACCGTATTTTGGTCAGTTATTTGAGGAGACATTTACGCACATAAATATGCACTAGAATGTGCCTCATGTTTCTCTATCAGAAGTGTTTGAGTTAACATTTTATACGCGGTGTCTTTCTCAATTGCTCTAGTAAAGAGATCCCCAGCGAGTCTGTCTACAGGAAACATATACTGTTTATTTGGGAAATGTGGGTGAACTAATCCATTAAGCTTGACCAGCACTTGCCAGTATGCTGTAGATCACGATGTCATGCTTCACTTCAGTGTCTGCAGGCCATCTTAGATGTTCTGATGTTTTTGTATCTTCTTCTCAAACACCAGGGGTGGAGAGGTCACTGACCTCGTAAGAGAGAAGAGCTTCACGGTCAGTCGGTGGCTGGACATTTGCGTATACGTTACGTATACGTTACGTTTGAAGGTGGTTTAGTGAATAAAGTTTTACAGTCCATCTCAGAGGAACATTTTGACTCAGATGTTTCTCCTAAAATGAAATGGACTCAATTGTTGACATGCAGTAAGAGAAATAAACATCTGAGGAACTCACATGAGATGACTTAAATCTGAGAACGCAGAGACTTCATTTAGGGTGCTTTCACACTAGCACTTTTGGTGCGCACCCAGGTTCGATTGATGTCAGAGTTCGGTTTGTTTGGATGATGTGAACGCTGTCTTCCGAACGCGGGTGCGCACCCGCAAACCGTACCCGAGTCCGCTTAAAAAGGGTGGTCTGGGGTACGGTTCATGTGAACTCCGGTACGGTTCGCTGCTGATGTGAACGCAATCATACCAAATCGCGGAAGTGAACCACTATTAATGACGTATTATTGGATAAAAATGTGTGTTTGTGTGTGTTTCACTCACTGAGCGTGACTGACGCGCTGCAAACAGAGAGCTGTATATCTCATTTCTGTTCGCCTTCAGCGTTCTTTAGAGCATTTGCAGTACATTCGTAAGGCAGACGTAAGTGCCGTTATGTACCGAAGCTTTGTAAACAAAAGGAATGGTTCAAAAACGTAAATATATAAAAGTGCAGAGAGCAATGTTATGCATTTGCCGCCTTCTCCTGCGCCGTCGTTACTAAGCAACGGGGTAAACAGCTGCTGGCTTGATGACGCAAACGAACCACGGTTCGGACCCAAATAAAATAATATGAACGCAGTCCAGCGGGGGGAGGGGGGAGCAATCGAACTGGTTCGGACCAGGCAAGCGAACCAAGTGTGAAAGCACCCTTAATCTCATCCCTTCTTGAAGAAGCATTTGAGACACTAAGAAGATCATTTGTGATTTTTCTTTACTACGAGACCGTCTCCACTTAATGTGTTTCTGTGTGTTTTATTTGAGTATTTAGAGAGAGAGACAGAGCAGAAAAAGGCCACACAAGAAACAAAGGAGAAGGAAGCACGAACTTTGCTTTAATCTGGATGTTTCTGCCGTGTTTCTTATTCTTGTTCTGTAGAGACTGATTAGAGGGCAAGGGATTCTGTTACCTGATGTCCTCCATGTGTCTTCTAACTGCTCCTTCAATGTTTTTTTTTTAGGGAAGTACGTTGAGGAAGAGGAAGATGTATGAAGAGTTCCTCAGCAAGGTGTCTATACTTGGTAAGTCATGAGAGTCCCATCAAGAGATTTCGATTTGTAAAAGCATTCTAGCATATACTGTTGCGTTAAATGTGAACACCTTGTTTATTAAACATGAGAAAAACAAAATTGTGCAAGTTGCAAGTTTAATAGTGCAAACTATTCTTATGTAAAATGTTATGTTAAACGCAGAGCAAAGACTGTAGGCTGATAAAATTTTACGACAATTCTCAGTTGTTTATGTTAGTTAATGCATTTGCTAGAATCAACTATTTACAATTAGCGAGCATTTATTGATCTTTGTTAATGTTAGGTACTAAACAATTATTCATTGTTTGTTCAGGTTAGTTCACATAGTGCAGGAGCTAATGTTAACAGATACAACTAGAAGTACTATTCATTGTAATTAAATGTTAGATAATGTGGTTAACAAGTTCATGTTAACAACTGAAATTTTACTGTGAAGTGTTACCAACTTTTATTTCATCAATTACTTATTCATGAACGAATTTCTGTGTACAACATTTGAAAAACCTTCTTGCATAAATTGGGACCTTTCATTGCACAATGGTTTTTTACAGTGGAGAATGTTCTATAGATCATTTAAAATGTTCTTCACACTAAGAAAAAATGGTTCTTTTATAAGAACTGTTCAGTGAAAGGTTCTTTGGGGAACCACAAGTGGTTCTTCTATGGCATTGCAGCAAATACCCCCTTTTGGAACCTTTATTTTTAAACGCTGAATTTGAAGAACCCTCTGTGCTAACCTGAAGAACCCTTATTTCTAAGAGCATAGCTTTGATTGACAGACACCGCTGCGGCACGCAACGCCAGTTCTACCCTGACTTGCATTCCAGTGGTTTTGTTAGTTGAGAGAGACAAAGAGGAGAGAGAGATGAACATTAAGATGGTCCGTTCTGTGGTGACCCCTCATCCTTCAGCACCCTGAGGTCACTCGTCGCTCTAAATGAGGTTATTAAATGGCTGAACAAACACACTCCTCCTCTCGGTTTCCTCTGTTTTTCTTTCTCTCTGTGTTCTCCGTTTCACAGCCCTGTCACGTCCTGTCTTCAAACGCATAGCTCTCTCGCTCTCCGAACCTCTTTTCTTCGCTCGTCTTCTCGCCTTTGAGGGGGACATATTTTTGTTTGCGTAGGATTTCTTTGAGATTGCAGTGAAATCGGCACTGTTTCTTGAAGCCATGGAGTGTTTACAATGGTTTATGAGGTCTTGCGCAAAAAAACATTGCTTAAAAAATGAATCGTATTTTCATATTTACTCATATTCATAATATAGAAACTTTGAGGTGGACTTTTGTCTTTGACTAGTAAGCAGTCCATTAAGAACACCCTAGAAACCACTTGGCAACATGCTAACAGCCATTCATAATCAGGGCTGGTAGATACTGAATATATTATTTATAATATATTCATAATGACTTGGCTGGTGATATAAACCTGATATAATGAGGTTGGCTGGTGATATAAGAAACACTGTTCAATTGAGTTAAAAAGTTTTAAGAATTGTGATTCTTAGGGCGTTTTCTGATTTAAACATCCGTAGCAAAAATGCTGATATGGTTTGGTCATATTAGCGAAATTTAGGCAAAAAATGTCTATTGTCAATGTATTTTCAAACTTGTTTATTGTCGTATTTATCCATATAAATAACAAATTACTTATTAAATATATATAAATATAAAAATATTTAATATTATTAAATATTGTCCTCATTAAACAATTTAATCTTGCATGCAATATATTATAATGTTATAATATTATATAAATATAATATAACTATATTTAAAAATAAATAAAATTTTCTTGACCTCATTAAAAACAAGAACAATAAGCAATAATAAGCAAATATGTATATTGTCACATTGGTGCATGTAAATAAAAATGTAATAATGAAAGTGGCCTTTTATTGTGGCCAGCCTAAGGCACACCTGTGCAATAATCATGCTGTCTAATCAGCATCTTGATATGCCACACCTGTGAGGTGGATGGATTATCTCGGCAAAGGAGAAGTGCTCACTAAC